GGGGGGGCAGGATCGGGCCACAGGATCCCTCCTGTCCTCCAACCAGATTACACCCTCGGATCCGGTAGGTAGGTCCTCTTCCAGGAACCCCTCCTCCAGACGGCCTCTCTCTCTAGTGTAGTGATACAGTTTTAAATCGGGACATTTGCTGGAATTGCTCTCAGTGGCTAAATAAATTCCAGCCCATCAATTCAGCCATGACCAAAGGCTGTTGTTTACCAACGTTTACCATAAAAAACAAGAAGATGCTACCCCGATAAGAGGGTAAGAGACACCCTCGGGAGATGTAGCCGCACAAAAAAGTGGCAGTTTATATTATGCTACAATTTGAGTAGAAGTGGTAAGAGACACACACGTGATACACACGCATCCATATTCATAATTATTCACTTAGGCATTAAAACATAACATCTATTTGTAATACTGAGGGCGGGGAGGGATTTCGCTACACACGCTTTTGTCATTTTTGAGCCATGTACAGGCATCATTTATCCAAAAATAAGTAAATGTAAAAACTCCTCTCAAAGAACTCATACTGAGGAGTTAAGAGTCTGCTGGAATATTCCCCAAATGCCATCGGGGTTAGAAATCCATGCCCCAGGGCAGTCGTACGTGGCGGCAGAGTTTTTAAACTCAGAACATTTTGCAGGGAAGACTGGCTTTCTGGCTCCTCTGCAAGATTCGGAAGCCCCGGCTCCCCTGGGCTGGAGTCATTCTGTGGCCCCCATCTCCTGGGAGCCACACTGCGGCCACCCTTTTCCCAGGAACGCACTAGGCTGCAATTTGCCCCAGTCACCACCACCCCCAACCGTCTTCTCAGCTGAGACTGATCCCTCGATACCGTGTCCCTGTCAAAAGTGGGAAAACAGGGGTACCTGGGTGGCTCAGTCATGTAAGTGAGTGGCTGACTTCAGCTCAGGTCATGATCTCACGGTTCGTGAGTTCGAGCCCCGCATCAGGCTCTGTGCTGACAGCTAGCTCAGAGCCTGGAGCCTGGAACCTGCTTCGGATTGTGTCTCCCTCTCTCTCTGCCCCTCCTCCACTCATGCTCTTTCTGTCTCTCTCTCTCAAAAATAAACATAAACAAAAAAGTGGGAAGACAGAGATCAAGAGGGCTGTGTGCACGTGAA